AAATTCATTTCTGGGCCCCCCCCCCCCCACCCCCCTGCCCAGAGTAAACCGCGATGCGTAAGGCAATTCATAAGGGGGATTATTTTTAATATTATTTTTACATGTTATTACAATAGATCATGAGCTTCTTTTAGATAACTTTATTTTAATGCGGTCTGAATGCATAATTATTGACAAAGCAATACTTGAAGTTTTATCCACTGTATTTTTCATATTTTTCTGACCATAGTATATACACTTTACAAAACTGTATGTAAACATAGTATCTATGCTGTAGTACATAAAACATCTGCAATTACATGAAAGAAGGCACATAAAGATTTTAATTTTACAGATGAAAAGTACACCACAGTCAATAAGGACATTGGGACTGTTTTAAAACACTTTATTTAGAAGTCTGATTTTTCTCAGTGCAGATAGGGACTGCCTAATACAGTGCTTTTCCCGTATTAAACTGTGCTCCAAAATGTTAAGAGATCCTGGCAACAAACTGGTCTTTTTTGTTTCATTATTGTTAGTAAAGTTGAGATTTTAACTTCCTTTTTTTGAAAAATATATACTGAATTTCTAGATGTGAATGCAAATACATGTAAAATAGGGATGGGGTTTTTTTTAGCTGCTTCAGTTATTGGCTTACTATCAGTACATGGGAAAACTAAATACTATGATACTGCAGCTTTTCTTAACCAGTCACTTAAGATGCATCTAAAATAAAGTTGAGAGATATTAAAAATAAAAGCTTCAAAACATAGGAATATAAAAAGTAGCTTCATGCTGTTCTTGTTCCCTTTAAGGAAAGGAACCAGGACACAGTCATCCCTGCATGTTTAGCTGGTGGTGTGGGGTTGTTTGGGGGCTTCATATGGCACAACGGGTTAGCTAATTAAAACTTCATTAAATAGTACTGACTAATGGCAATACACTCATCTGTATATGATAAAATATATAAAATACTGTTATCCCCAGCCTTCCAGGAGTGGTTCAGGTAGAGCTCATTTTTGAAATTGCCAAAGAAGTTGTGTCTTGTTCTACTTATGTATGATCTAAAGTTGATCAAAAAAGTCATAGGCGTGTCTACTATCTGAATTCCAGCCTCCAGCTCCTTGTACTTACAAGGGTATAATTTACAAGGATGCAGATTGGATATGCTTTTTTTGAGCTTTGCTTTTTTTTTCTTTCCAAATAGATAAGAAGGACCCAAGCTCATGCCATTAACTTACGAATCCAAACAAAATATGAAATATTGTGTGTTGATGTATTGACTTTAAAAAACCAAATAGTTAAAATTCACATTTATACAGATTTAAACTACACATTTAATCAAAAATATAGTGTAATATTCAATAAAATTAAATACACAAAATAAAGATTAACACTATACAAATCCCCTATCAAAGCTTTTACCCCCTTGTAAGGCGGCGAGCAGTCTGCTTTATAACCATGGGTGATGGATAATACACCTTTGGGGTTCTGACCATTTCACTATTAGATGTACGGTACAACTAAAACCTATTTCTGGATGAGATGTTTCACATGAAACACTGCATTTTGTACACCAAAATATGTTCTATGGCTTTTCATGTTATTCATCGCTTTCATATTCTTCTTCTTCATCTCCTATGGGGTAGGACTGGATGTTCTGGGTGTACATTTTTGTTTTCACAGGACAGTTGTGATCCATGAGTATTGCCTGAAAGAAAACAGAGGATGAATATTTGCATTTCTGCTTAGCATCCAGCTTAGTTTGCCTCTCTTATGTTGTATAACCAGCTATTAAAAGCCAATGAATGAGGAAGAGGAGTCCTACTGCCTCAAGCCGTCCCCCTCACTAGCTTTGCTTTTCCCCCTCCTTTCTGCAGAGCTCCAGAACAGAACACTGTGACCTGGCACTCCAGGTGATTATCGTAGTTACAGCTCAGCCACGACATTACACTCTCGGGGATTAATTTTTCCTGGGACAATGGGAGTCTGTACTCAGAGCAGTTGGGTAGCACATTTCAGGTTGAGTGTGATTGTTTGATTTTTAATTATTATACAAAGAGCACAAAGTAGGGATCCTCCTTTTGACTCTTTTCACTGACAGGGGACACTTTGGGAATAGGAGTCACTTTGCATTTAAAAGTATGTTGCACAGATTACTGTGGAAGATGTTTAAGCTGTAGGGAGACATCCTCTTCCTTCAGTGTTACAAATGAAGCCCTGTCAGGGACCAGGAAAGCACGCAATAAACTTCAGATCGCAGGGAAACAAACACCAGCAGCCCCCACCTTTTTATTTTCCCCTTTCTCTTCCTCAGCCTTAGTGTGTGGAAAAAAAAAAAAAAAAAAAAAAAAAGTATTGGTGCCTGCAAAGGTCAGGACAAGGGATTAACTGGAATCTCTGGGATTCTGCAGTCCAAATATGTGCAAAACTAAAGGTCTCTGGCCTCGTGTACACCACTGTTTCACCAGGATTCCTTCTTCCACCTTCTGTTCTGCTCATGCTGGTACAAAGCACAAGCAGCATATGCACCAGGTTCTGTTCCTACCCTGCAGAGATGTGGTGCTGCACAGTGAGACCACGGCCACGCAAAATTACATTTTCATCAAACTAAACAGCCACAAACATGTTTGCCTGCTGAGACTTTTCCCTAAATCCCACGGCAGGGGACAGGGCAGGGTGGCTGCTCTGGCCAAGCATCGTCCTTATGCACCATCCCACGGCTGGGGAGCACTGACTGCTATAGGAAATTAAAGTTGTTGGCAAAGTTATACTAAAAAGGGGGTCAGGGTGAGACGTGTGGTATGGAGAAGAGAAGCCATTAATTTGTAAGGGCGGATGATCTGTACAGAGGAAGAAGTAGGAGGAAAAAATATGGTGCTAAATATACTGTAGAGGACCATGGGGGAAAAAAAAAAAAAAAGGGCTGAGGCACACACAGGAATAAACCAGAACTGGTCAAAGCAATTCTGTCACTTCAAGGAAAACAAAAGTGGTTTTTATATTGACTCCACTACAGCATATGCTATTGCAGGTGAATGTCTGCTGGACCCTGTTTGGTTCATGATAATCAAATGTGTGACTTTGTAACATGTAACTAATAAAAAGCTTTCCTTTATACATCTTGGCCGTAGAAAGAAGGGGGGAGTTTATTCCAGAGGTGATGCACGAGGGTGAAACAAACTGCGCTGGTCTTGTTTCGGGGAAGTTAGAGGCAAAGATGCAGAAAAAAATTATCATTTGTCTCACTGAAAAAAACTCAACCCCCAAACAAAAGGAAGAGACCATGTTATCCTTACCATTTTCTCCTCTTTGGCAGGTGGACTTCGAAGGAAAAAGCACAGGGGAGCGAAGAGGATATCCACAATTCCTATAATTGTCATGAGCCATGGAAATCCAATGGCCTTTGCAATGGCTCCACCAGCAGATGGACCTTGTATAAATAAGAACAACCGTTTTCTGAAGATCACTCAGACATAAAATCTGCAGCAGACATTTTAAACAACAGTAATTTTATATACAAAACTCCCGCTTTACAAATCGAGTTGAGGAATGTAAAGACATGTTTGTAATTATCTCATAAACCTTTCCTGGCTCCATACTCCATATTAATTGAAGAAATCAGAGATGCTGCTAGGGACTCCCAGAACATCTGTATCGTGTACCCAGGGAGGCAGCAGGTCAGCAGGGAGTTACTCCTCTCACAGACTATTAGGAGCACAGCTGTGGTGTTAGTTTTAAATGTTCCAAGGCTTCTTTCGTAGGAATATCCTATTTGTGCTCAATGCCTGCCGCCTTCAGGCCCCTTACAGCTAACAAACATGAGCACAGCATCATGGCAGAAGGGAACAGAAGCCAAACACTGTTCCCCACATCCTTTCCCTCTGCTTCTGATTTCTTGTAGAAAATAACCAAATAACCACCCCAGCTCCTAAAGCCTGTGAGTGCCACAAGGGTTCACACCTAACATTGCAGCATATTTCTCTTAACTGTCAGGTGCGTTATAGGCAGGAAAAGGCTGGACTTACCAATGGCAAAGCCCATGCAAAAGGCAACATCGGCTATCGCGTACACACTGCCATAGACCGACACATGGCGCAGATCTACGAGGTAGCCCATAATTGGCATCATGGAGGAGTCCACCATTCCTGGTCATGAGGGAAGGAAGTGTATTTTAGGACAATACTGCTGGTTTGGTTTTTTTTTTCCCCCCTTTAATGTCTTGGTCAACTATGTGCTAAAGCACCATGTGAACGCAATTAAAAGGATGCTTATTCTTAAATAAGTTCAAATTCTTAAAAACCTATATTATCCTATTCTTCAATAACTGTGTTATCTGTGCTTTTTATGATCTTTACTGTGTCTGAAGTCACATGTGGATGTGCATGGACATGTACATGTAACACTTCCCAAAGGACAAGAGAGACGCGAGCTCAAAGCACATCAAACGCTTCCCAGCAACCGTATGTGCAAAGGCTCTGACCTCATATTATCAGCCAAGAACCTTTAATTTAGCAGAAAAATTATTTTGTATGAACTTACACTTGCTGTAGACCTAAACGATTGCATTAGTTTCCAGTCACCCAAAACTACTACAGTGGTTTCACCAAGTCTTTTCAGCCACGCTTTCATTGCTTGCAAGAAACAGCACAAGACAGCTGACAAAGCTGCCAAGATACTGGGGATTTGTAGTTGATCGTGTAACTTCTTTTCTAACTGGACATGCCTTGTGTGTGCAGATGCCCCAGAACATTTGCTGAACAGCCACGTGCTAAAATCCAAGCCATGGCCCCCAACCCAGCTTGACCACATGGCCCAGCATAAGTTCACACATACGACTTGAAAACCGTATATGTGCATGGGCTTGGGAATTCCTATCGATGAACACAAATTTAAGCCTGTTTTGTTTTTTGTTCTTTTTTTCTATGAACAGCAGGAGAGATTGGGTTTTGCAGACTGCATTGCTTTATTTCTGAGAACAAGGTATAATTTCAGGGACAGTTTGAAAGATCTGTTTAGGTCAAGGGAGCAATTCCAGACAGATGTCAGAACCCAGCCTGTCTAACAGCAGCCTTGTTCAAACTGCCCCAGCACCAGGCTTTAATCCTTCTTGTACTGTCTACCAACGTGGGCTGCAGCTCAGATCTCACTGCTGTCACATCAGAACGGCAACAACACTAATTTTCCATGTAACTTCAGATAACATCATGTTTACATAAACCACAGATAGTAAGAAGTCATTGTAATTTTTCTTACCAATGGCAAACCCAACTCCAAAATTTGGTGCTATGAGCCCATAAATGTTTTTAGCAAATGGTACCTATAAAGGAAAGTTCAGGCAGTTAATTATGTCACACCACAGATGCTAACAGGGTTAGTTTTCTTTTTCCTTTTCTTTTTTAAAGTTAAATTTTCCAGGTAGTTATGGCACACTTTGTTTCAGACAACTGTGCCATTAAACCACTGGCACACTTACTATTATGAGCAAGAGTAAACTGTCAAGTGACAGCTCAAAAAAAGGATCATCCTCCTCCTTTGAGAGCCAGTCTTCCTTCAAAATAATTGAAGCATTGAAATTTGAAAGCACTCAAAACTGTGATCTGGAACCTATTAACTACACATTGTTTAATAATGTATCATAAAGCAGAGACTGTGGTAAAATCTCCTGGGGAAAGCACATATTTGAAGATGAACACATGAATGTTTAGATGGTTTGAAAGATACATGCTCTTCTACTTACGCATAAAATACTTATTCCCACGATTAGCATCCCGAGTAAAGCACAAAGCCACCTATCAAAGAAGAAACATCACTCAGAGATCGGCGATACTGAGGATGTTAGAGATGATCTTGAAGGTTTCAAAGTCAGATCTGAAATGCTGAGTTACACAACCAAAGTAGTAATATGTTCAAGAAAAAGTGTTTTTGCTAATATAGAACAAACTTGAATAATTTCCATCATCAATAAACTGCCCTGGGAAACACTGGAAATGGTACATGAACAGACTGGGAGATTATTAGTATTTTTAAATGAAGCATACCTTCCCATTTTGTGTGCAAGTATCCCAAAAAGATTAGTCCCGATGAGATAAGAGATACTAGCTGGAAGAAAAGCGACACCTGAAAAATATGAATGAGATGTTTTATCAGCAAGGATTTTAGTGAAGCGTTAGAAGAAACTAATAAATTCCAGACACTGCAATTTTGATTTGAACACATCTAATAGAGTCTTTGTGCATAGCCCAAAAAAATCAAATATCCGGTTTGTTGCAGCCTTTTCATGAAATCTAAGGACATCATCTATGAAATGCAGGGGTGATGTGACACCTCTGAAGAGAGGGGCTTTTTTTTTAGTATAATCTAAAAGAAGTGGTATGGGAGAGGGGATGGAAAAACAAAGAACAAAAAGTTTCTATCTAACTACAGTGAGCCTTGGGATAGGTCAAGGAAAGCCCCTCTTTCATGGTTGCATGGCTTACAGAGCATCTGTTCAGCCCATGCAGCAAGGCCAGGACAGTCAGGGGTGGGTGAATCCCTTCCTGGAGGGGGGGACAGCAGGACTGCTGCTCTGGCTTTGCAAGTCACAGTCCCCCTCTGAGCCTGTGAATGCCACGAGGCCTCTCGTTACAGGAGAGTTTGTAATGCAGCAGTATGTTCCTTGGTCAAGCGATGACCAAAGGCAAGCATATATCAATAATGTAAAGGTGAAGAAACCTTAAAAACATGAGTTTTTTTATATTTAGCCAATTTATTCATTTTTTTAAAATATCAGTTACTGCTTTAAATTCATAAACCAATTATCTGTAATGAATTGCAGATGAAGGCACGTAAGTAAAATCCTTCTGGGCTTGATGGGAGGGTATCAGACCCTCCCACATCCCCCACATCCACTCGGAAAAACATGTTTTTGGGACCAGCAATTTTTTGTAACCCTGATATTTCCACCGCAGTGGCTGTAGCTAGAGTAGATGCTGGCTGCACGGTGGCCAGAAACATCGCTGGTCTAAAAGCCAATTACAGCCTGTATTGAGGATTCATCCTCTCCCCACACATAAGTTTCAGGGCAGGACCCAGCTGGAGGGGAAATGTCAAAGGAAGAAATGGTAATGGAGAGGACGGTGTGCCATTGCGTGCGAGAGCAGGGACTGCCCTTGAGGAGAAGACATCGTACGAAAAACATCCGAGAGGCAGAGGAGCAGGGTGGCTGTGCCTAATGCTGGATCCTTGCACAGTGGCATCAAATGGTTCATGTGTCTTGGAAGAAATAACACACGGTATTTTTTCTGTTGTTCCTGTTAAATTTTGCATCTTCTTAAGAAAATTAAAACTGGGAAACGTGACAAAACCAGGGAAGTCGGACAAATTAGCGCACACCACGGCAAGCCTTCCCTTTGGTCACTGTTAAATCAGGTAATTCGGGTTGAGACAGCAGCCACGAGATGTCACAGTACACAATCAAACCATCCCCTTTAAGCGTATATGCTCCTCATCTTTCACCAAGGCAACATAGATTTTCTCATTTCCTGCCTATCCATCTTCCTGCCTATCTCTCTGATATTCATAAGAAAGAAAAAAAAATAGAGAGGTAATTTTTAGCACAGCAATATCCTGTGATTAAAATCCTTGCGGGGTACAATGGTGATGCTGGGGAAACATTTTCACTTGTGTAACTGCAGCTACTTCAGCACTGCTTGGACCTATCTGTTTTTACTGAAGAGTCATATATAGGAGACCTTGACAACGGTATAAAAACACTATAATGGCTTGTTAAATAAGACTTTCAGGTTGGTGTGTAAGCTGTGCTATACTGAAGCAGAACCGTAATTTTCTAGATAAGCTTTATGCACAGTAACATTAACTGATCAAATCAAGGTTCTCTGTACCTTCTTCAGATTATGCTTCAAACAGCTGGGTCTCCAAATTGCATAAGATAATCATTTGCTTAAAACTTTGCAGTTCAAGATATAATTTAAGAGGCTTAAAAACTTTAATTAATGCTGTCAAATCAGACAAAGCATAATGGAGTCAATTACTTATATCATTAAGGGGTAAAATTAGTCTTAATTTAAAATGGATATTTTCCTTCTAGGAACATCTATTCAACTAAGATATTTGTAAATCTCATTTCCATTGCACCAATAATATGAGTCTCCAGTGAAGGAGGTAGATAAGCAATCTTTGTTTTTCTTTGTGAGGTTTAAAATATCCACGTTTGTGCGTTAATTTTGCTGTATTACAGGCTAGTGTTCATCACCATGTCCAACAGTACAGCAGCACAAGAAGAACTGCAAGCTATGGCCATCCTAGATCTGAGTTTGCATTAGTATGAACTAAGGTTTGTGCTTTCTCTGTGGTGTAGGGACATACAACATAGAGTACGGAAATTATTTGGATGCTAGCTGACCATCATTTTCATGAAGGTTTTTTTCTTTTTCTTTCAAATGCTATGTATTGATATTTAAAAATACCCTAATGAAAACTCACAGCACAGAACATTTGTTAACATTATCAATGTATGCTTTTTTTTTTTTTTTTTTTTAATGATAACTCTTTCCTACACCCAAGATGTTGCACATTGGCCTCCTGCGGAGTTTGACACTCACGAGAAGTCAGTCCATTTTTCTCCTCCCCACCTTCTTCACCTCAAAGAGCAAGTAACTGCCCCAGTTTTACTCTCTAGTCTAACTTGATACATGGCACTAATTCCCAGTTTGCCTGTGGACACTGGTTTCCCAGGACTGTGTCCCTGTTACAGGTTGTAAGTTGGTCCAAGTTGGGGCTCTCCCATTGCTTTCTCTTGAATGGGATGACTAGGTAACCACTGAAACGGTGTCAAATCTATCAGATTTGAGGGAAAATGCTCTTAATGCCCTTGGTGGCTACGTTTTAAGTCCATCCTTCTTCCACACATTGCCAGGAGCAGCCCTGGAAGGAGGATGTGTTGGCCTGGGCATGCTCTGCCCCAAATGCACTGCACCCGCTGCAGAATTCTGGGGCTGCCTGCTCCCGGCAATTCAAACTAGGAACTGAGGAAGGATGTCCTCTGGGAAAAACCCCAAACAAATGGTTTTGCCCTGCTGGTCTGGCTCTGTGTCTCACAGGGTGTCTTGCAGCTGCCTCAGCCAACGCTTGCTGCCAGATGCGCTGCTGGGGCTCCCAAAGGAGCCGGGACAACAGAGTGCCATGGTTGCCTGCATCGATCTCTCCTTGCAGTGTGAGCATTGACCCTTACTGGAGTCTATTACAATCACATCAACCCACTACCTACTTTTCTTAAAAAAACGATGTTTCCAATTATGCATGTATAACACTGACAATTTAAAGATAGTAAGAAAAAAAAATTTAAAAATTAACTACCCTGAAGCATATAAAGAGACCATCATTAACAGGACCAGAATCGAGACAGACATTAGACAAAATATAGAGATGCAAATAATAAGCTGTACTTTACCAAGTTGCCATTTTTTTGAACACATTGTCTCCATCATCCAGATGGGTAAAGCTGGTTCAAGCATTGCAATTGCCATGTTCGCAAAGCAGATTGATCCTTAGAGAAAGAAGATGAGGGGGGAAAAAAAAAGCAGTAATTATTTCATTGGATTATGAACAAAAAGCCATGCAAAAAAATTGATGCTTTTACACAAAACATTGTGCTTTTAACAGTCCTATTTGTCATGTATTAGATGTTGATTAATGTTAAATAGAACAGAATGTAAAATCACGGAAGACTAACTTTCTATATATTTCTATTCTCCTCGAAATTCTACAATAAAGGTTAAGCTATTTTCATAATGTGAAAGTCTGCAGTGAGCTTGATGACATTTAGAAAGTTCATGAGGTCTGACTATTGTACAAATGATTAGCTAAAACTACAATCTTTTGGTCTTTATCTAGTCTCCTGGGGCAAAAACGGAGCCCTGCTGTGTAAGAGGCACAGGCTCTGACCCTATGCCTCTGTCACCTGAGAATGATGATGACAAGATGTGGAGGTCTGTCCTTAAAATACCAAGAGACAACCACGGAGACGTCTATCCCCTACAAAAAAGAATTTCATGCAGAGATCCTATAGCTATCAACCAGTAAGTCCATGCAGCAAAGCATGGGTTTGGCTGAGCTTGCTCAGCCCTATGAATTTCAAATGCTTCCAGATCTCTTTTGAGATTCTGGACCTTTAGTCACCCAGACACAAAGGATAACAAGAGGTGGAAGTGCTGATTCAGTCTCGCCCACCGGCTCAGCCCTGCCCCACACCACTGAATGCAGATCCAGACTCAGGTTTGTGTCGAGTTCGTCTACCCTCAGTAGCGCACCTCAGCTTTAGTGCAGGGATTATTAAACCCATGGTATTTCTTTAGATTGAAGATGCCTTTCCCACTTACTCAAAAGACCCTGAGGCAGGCAAAGCCTCACACAGGGCAACAGGACACGTTCCCTTTGCTAATCCCTCACAAAATGACTTTCAAAGGAGTTTGGAAGTCAATGCTAGAAGTGACAACCTCAATCTTGCGTTCCCACTTTTCTTCCTAATACTAGCAATCTCTGAAATACAGGAAAATATTCTAGACTCTTACAGCTGTTTGACATTCAAATTTTAGGGTTTTTTTTTAAAAAAAAAAAAAAAAACTTAATTTGTCTGAGGTCAGAGAAACATTATTTCTCCTGGAACAAGCTCCTCATCATCCAGTTCAAACCAAAATGAGCACTGATGTCATTCTTTGCTCAAACCTGTCAGAATGTATTAGACTGTGTATCTATGATACCTAAAATCAACTTGCAGGCTAGGTTGCTCATTCCCTTCCCGGGGCAAGGAGCAACAGTTCAGCACTGCTATATCCTACAGATGAAAGGTTGGATCTAAACCGCTCCACTCTGCTGCAAGCTCCCACCAGCACAGTGTCTGTAAGGAGCCCCAGCTAAACCCCTCAGGGCTGTCCTCTTTGGAGCCAAAATCAGCCACGCTCGAGCAGCTTCCTTGATACTGGAAAAACATTTCAGGCCACACAAAGTGCAGCCAGAGGAAGCAGAGCTGTTCTAACAGAGATGGCTTAAATAGCAAAGGTCTACTCTTAACAAACTTCACAAAGAAATGAGAAACAGGTGTGTGTGCATACGTGTGTGGCATCTACTTCTCCTTAGGTCAGGAAGCATCACCAGAGCTTACCAAAGTACTCAGGCATATGGTTACGAAGGTATGTCAGATCTTTAGGATGTACCCCAAGAGAAAAGTGAGAGCCTGAGCTGGTACTCTGCTATCTCATGTCAAAGTCCAATTAAGACCTTGGCAAAGCTTCCCCAAAAGAAGATAAAATATTTTTTCCTTCTGTCTTGCATGGACCTGACATCTCTTTAAAGTGCCATGTCTCAAGGGCATAAATCCTACATTGTTTCTTCTTTAAATTAGATTAAACATCGTGCATTGGCCAGAAGGTGTGAAATCACAACCTTCCAGCTGGATCCCATCCCCGCAGCTGAGATCCCACTCAGCTTCTGGCAGAGTGCTGGAGACATCACTGGTAAATGAAATAGCAGGTACCCAGTGAAAATCTGTTGCACACCTTCTCAAGAACCCATGTGCTCATAATAATATCTGTCTGAACTCTGTTTTTTGGATCTGATAATGTAAACCTAACTTGTCTGTCCGTGCAACTTTGTCAGCTGGCAGCACCTAATGTTTCTGCAGTCCCTGTCGGTGAGGTCTGGATGTGGGAATGACACTGACTTCATTCATGGAGCTCCTACCATCAGTGACAAAAAGCATCAGTAACGTTTCTTTTGCCTGGGTCAAATGAGTACTGATGGCACTGACTTTGAAGCATCACCTCTGACACAATCCACTAGGGGCCACAGTCTATATTTGCTCATATCTACTCAACAAGGCAGCAGGACGGGCTGTAGGGACTGTGACATACACGAGTGAATGACACCACTGGCCTCCCGCCTCTTGTGACAGTCACCATTATTAACTCACAGGCCACATGGATTACCGCAGGAAAAAGCCACACTTTCAGGGAGAGAGGAATGCCATGCTTGAGTTCAAGATATGTTAAAGACTAATGTTGTGCCCTAGATAAGCCAAATTGGTCAGAAAGTGCTTGTGCTTTGAGAATACAAACAATTATGACTCAAGTGTATGACGCACGCTCAGGAGATTGAATCTGAATTTTACCGTGAAATTAGTGTACCTAAATTGAGAGTGCAAGAAACACTTAAACTGCTAGTCCATTTGCAGTGTGCCTAAGATGTCACTGGTTTTCACTTGTGGTTAACAAGTCAGCCCACTAGAGATGCAGGCAGTATATTAATGAGGTTGTTAACTGGCTTAAAAGCCATTCAAAACCTCTAATATCCCTGAGCAGTGCAAACTCAATGGGACTTTTAACCTTCTTCTCTCTAATTGTTGTATCTGAACATCATACACAGTGTGGGACATGTCCATTCACAGCATCCTTGTGAAGCAGAAGACACATTATCCTGGCTTAGATATGGAGACATGTGGCATTGTTGCCTCAAAGTGTCAGGGAATGGAGCTAGCTGCTGTCCCAACCACCCACTCACCCACTCTTCCCTGTTAATATCAGGATCAGAAGTTCCCATCTTAGAAAACAGAGCAAGGATAAACTGAATTCCTTGGGGTAAGGGAGAGCAAATGAAACTTTTGGACCCTTTTTACTGTAAAAAGCAACAACTGCCCAGCTGAAACAATTAACATTTAAACAGTGTATTCCTGGTGCATCAAGAAATCTGCATTTGGACTGATGTGCACTGGTAGGCCAGATAAAGGGCTGAGTTTATAGTTGGTATTTGGCATTCAGCTCTGAAAAAAACAAATTTGATTTGCAAGGGAAATAAAGCAAGGGGAGAAGAGGCTGAGATGAAGAGAACCTCAGTGTCATCCATACTGTCAGAGTATGATGGAGGCAGAGACCCTGGGTGCTGTACCTAACCCTGCTGTAAACCACCACAAGGACTCTCATATCCTGGGCGCTGACACCTGCTGGGAGAGGGACAAGTCATCCAGTGTGGATGCAGAGGTGGTCTTTATGCTTCTACCCCTCTGTACATCCTTCCTTTCCCTTCCTCTGGTCTTGCCCAGCCGCTCTGGATTGAAGATGGGAAGGGGAGGCAGGAGGCACTGCCAGTGCCTGCAGGCATATGCGGGGAAGCAAGAGACAAAAAAAAAAAAAAAAAAAAAAAAGCCAGGGCAGTGAAGATAAGGTCTCTCTGACATGCACTGTCCTGATTCCAGGCTACCCCGCCCTGAGTCTTTTTCATTATTTTGCTGCCCTGCTTTACAGAGCACTGAAACATCAGCAGAAACAGCTTCAGAGAACAGAACAGCTGCAGAAATTAAATGCCACGCAAATGTGTTAGAAAATGAGAACAAAGGCCATCCCTGCTCTTAGCAGACATGGGACATGACCAAAATAGTGGGACCCATGGTCCTTGGTACCTTCTGTCTTCCTTGGCTAAGACTAGCTTGGCATGAGCAGCTAAGTCTTAGTCAAGCAAAATACCCCTTAAAATCAGGCCCCTGGTCATATTTTGTGGTGTAAACCAAGTTCTGTCACAGATTAGACCTTGGCAGGGATTGCATATAAAGTAGATATCTGGAAAATACTGTTAGAAGAACACCTCACTTTGTAGCACCTGCTTTAAGCACTGTAAGAGACAAGGCACCGAAGGAAACGAAAGACAGGTATTATCTTTGCTACTCATTTTCCTCAAAGACCCTTATTCTATGGCAAGGTCTTTCAATGCCACAAGAATTTTTCGAGCAAAAGTGTTCATATAACTTTACTCACAGCTTTACCAAGTGTCTAGTCAAGCAGTTAGGGTAATGGTAACTCCCTAAGACCACCAAGAAACAGAGAACCCAAAAATGCCTGGAAGAATTGCTGTGTTGGACAAGCAGGTTAGGACTAGGGAACCAAACTGTAAAAAGTCATGATTTGTTTTCAGATATTTTATGAGCATTAAAAAGGTCCAGGCTTAATTACAGACTCCAGAATAAACACTCAACAAAATGCAACGCAAAAAGACAAACTCCCCTTGAGACTGAAAGGCTCATTAGACAAATGATACATGTAATACCAAGCACCATTCACCATTCAACCCAGACCTTTTCTGAAATATAATCCATGCTCTAGAGACCAAACTCACTCCCTCTTCACAAAGAAACAAAGTTCAATGTTATTCCCTATGCCTGCCTGCAATGTGCTGGCAACCCCTTCCTCCGAAAGCCTTGGCCCTATTCCCTTGCCTCACAGCAAGTTTCATGGCCACATCTCATTGCCTCAGCAAGCAACCACAAGTCATTAGTGTCATCTTAGCTAGAACGACACATTTCAGACCTTCTGCCTATTATGTTTCTACTGGTACACTCACCCTGTATTACCAACAGATTTTTTTTTTTTTCTTTGAGCTTTATGTTAATGCAGACAGAAAATGGCAATATTGTTAAACCAGCTCAGCATGGGGTATTCCAGGATGCCAGGTATAACACCAGCGGCTGGTTTAAAGGAAAGAAAAAAACAAAAACAAAAATAAAACCAAAACAAAAACAAAGGATCTGGTACCTGCTGCAATAATGATATACGGGTCCTTCAAAAGTGTCAGTAACGGTGTCCCCTTCTGACTCTATGAAACAAAAGCTCAGGATTAGGAAAGGCAAAGTGTCATCCATTGCCTAGAGTGTTTCACCTTAATACTTACCTCTGCTTGTGCTCTGGATGGCTGCAGAACAAATAATTGAACAGCTGCGAAAAGAAATCAATACTGTAACGTTTCTTCGAGAAGGGGGTTAGATGGCAGTGATATGAAAGGGATGTGCTACATGGCGATATTGGCTCTTGTATTTACTGACCTCCGTCTAACAGCGCTAGTGCAGCCAGCACGAGGAACGGAGAGCTCTTCCCCACAAACTCGTACATCACACTCCCAAAAGGTGGCCCCACTGCCAGGAGAAAGGAAGGGCACAGCTGTGAAGCCACATCTCTTGACTCTGAACAATTCTCTGCACCCTGCTATCGGCACCCAGTGACCAAAACCTCAATTTAAAAATCCCCACCAAGCCTATTGATCATAATAACCATATTCTTCACCAACCAAAATGCTCTTCTGTGTAAACAAATCCCAGACATCTCAGAGACTATTGCCTGACATATGTATCCACGTAAGAAATGTGCTACTGGGGGAAAAACTAGTCTTAACATGCACCATAAATCTAATCTAGAGACAGCACAATAACATTGCACTCGATGAGACAACTCTGCTGCTGCTGTAGTACAAGTGCATGCTTTGGGAAGGCTGGGGGGTGGTTTCTCTTGCCAGCAGAGCCTCCAACTCACTGACCTAATACTCCCATAGCAAGGCCTCCCAGTGCAATTCCCATTGCGTTGCCTCTCTCTTCATCATCTGTATATACACTGGCGAGCATGCCCATCCCTAAAATTAAAAGAAGAAAAAAAAGCACAACACAAAACTAGGCATCTGTGTACTACAGTTTACGGTCATCATTTGCCAGCCCTACTAAACATGACACAGGGATGACAGCAAGTATCTG